TGCTGCTTCTCACATGTGAAGATCTAGTGATGTGAATGCCCTGAAACACCAAAGCGTACTGAATTGAAGTCTTGATGCCTTTGTCCCTGCATTCATTTATCCCTTGAGTATTTATTGAGTACCTGATGTGTGCCAGGCATTGCTTTTGGTACTAGGGATACAGCAGCGGACAAGAGCAGGTTCTGACCTTTGTGAAGCTTATGTTCTAATGCTAGAGGAAGATGGCACCCAAATATGACATAAAGTCTGGTGGTACTAATGCCATAAAGAGAAATAAAGCATGGTAATGGGATAGTGAAGAATGGGTCCTGTTTGTTGGGTCTGGCAAGGTTCTATAAGAAGGTAATGTTTCAGGGGCAACCTGATGAAGTGTGAGAGCAAGCCATTGTTATCAGAGGAAAGAGGGCTCAGTGCAGAGAGAATAGTGTGTTCAAAGGCCCTGCGGTAAGAGCTTGCTTGGAGTATTCACAGGATAGCAGGAAGCGCTCTGTGACTGAGAAGAGTGAGTAAGGGGAAGACAGGTAAGAGATGAGATTGGGTAGAAGAGGCAGAGAAGGTGCGGGGCCCTGAGGCCGTAACTTCTCTTTAGCCTTGAGTGCCTTTCCCTTCCACCTGTAACTGCTGAGGTTGGAATTAATTTTAATTTGTTCCACATGGTAGCTAGTTGCCCTCTGCTTGCTGAATAATTATCTCTTCCCTATTGATTTGAAATACCATTTAATCATATTCTGTGCTTATACATACACACAACCATACAGACATGCGTAGACATGTTTATTAGCTCTCTTTCAGTGATTTGTCTTACTGCACATGTACCATATTTTATAGTACTGTGCTTCTATATCAGGCCTTGGCAAACTACAGCTCATGATCCAAATCAGGCCCACCACCTAGTTTTCTAGAAATAAAGTTTTATTGGAGCACAGCCACACTCATTTGCTTGTGTATTGTTTATGGCTGCTTTTGAGCTCCAGTGGCAAAGTAGTTGCAGGAGAGATCGGATGGTCCACAAAGCCTAAAATAAAATTTAAGATCTGGCACTCTGGCAGAGAGTTTATCAACCTTTGCTTTATATTATATATGGTCTGATAGGGCCTGTTCTTCATTCTTTATTTTCAACAATTTCTTGGCAAGTCAAGCATGTTTGTTCTTTTCAGGTGAACTTTAGAATCAATCTGCTAAGCTTGCCTGACTCCCTTCCCTTTCCCGCACCTCTTTTTTGGGGTGGGGAAGTGGGAAGTAGGGAGAATAGGAATTTGATTGCATTTAATTTTGTAGTTCAGTACAGGGTGAAGTGATCATCTTACGATACTGGGTCTTTCCATTCCAGGAATATTATCTTTGCATCTGTAAACTTTTATTGTTTCATCCCTTGAATGTTGCACATTTAAGTTTATTCCTACGTGTACTATAGCTTTTCCTTGCTGTTATAACTGAGATCACCTCCCAGGTATACTAACAAGTGATTATTTATGGCATAAAAGAAGAGTTTGAATTTTTATGTATTTCAGTTGTTTCTGACCTTCTTATGGAAGTAAACTCCTGTTAGGACTGTTAATTCTTAAAGTTGATTCTTTTGGTTGATGGTCATTGTCTGAACTTAGCAGTTTTTGTTTTATTCCTAATACATATGTCTCTCTATATTGTGGGATTCTATATACAAAGGGTAGTTTGGAGGAACTGAATTTTGACCCTCTCAATGGTGTTCACTTTTTTTCTGTTATACAGGTCACAACAAATTATAATTATTAAAAAACCCAAAACAAACCCCCCAAACTCCCGGAAAACTTTATGCCACATCAGCATTTGTTGATCATTTTAAAGAATACTCAGGAGATACTTTATAGGCAAGCCGTTTATCAAGCATGCTGTGTCTTTCTGCAGAGCCATTTGTCACTTTTAATACAGAATGTTAGGTTTGCATGTCACACGTGAGAGTCTGACCCAGTGACTATTGTGGAGAGCCTTTTGATCACAGGCTAAAGTTGACTTTAACTGAGCATTTAGCCTTTAGAATTGAAATAGGAGCCAAAGGAGATTTTATGAATCAGTTAGTACTTTCCTAAATGCATTTCTGTAAAGCATGTGATCTTTACCCTTAACATCTATTCCTTAAGGATATGGAATCTATTGTAGATTTCAAGGTCTGTTACTTGCCCTGAGCAGTGAACAGATGAACCATGAATTCAATATGTGTTAACCTTTGTGGATTTATCTTTTAATGCCATTTTGGTCTTTTTTTTTTTTTTCCCCTGAATTTGTGTCTACTTAGGTTTTTACCTTGATGAAACTAAAGAAAAACTGTTTTGTTCATGCTACTGGTTCCTTTTCTTTTTCCTTTTTTTTTTTTTTTTGATGAGATGATGATGAGGTGGTTATGATAGTAGACACAGGATATGGAAATAGAGACTTGCTGACATATATTATGTGACTTGTGAAATGAACATTGTTACTTGTATCCTCTGTAAAGTGAAACTTGATATATAGAACCTTAAATGCTCTTGTATATTTTTTTCCACTGCTGAGATATGCTTCCACCGTCATTATGAAATCAGTTGGTGGCATATGAATGTAGACATACCGTCATAGGCTGTTGAGATGTGTCAGGCCGTATGCCTCTGTCACAGAGGCAGCTACAGCTTTGAGACCTTTGATGTGGGGCTTGACTTGGATCTACAGAAGTAGAAACCATTGTAGGTGGGTGGTGTGGAAAATGGTATAATCTGCCAGTGATAATATCTTCTATTGGGCACTCACTGTGATCCACACATTACTCTGACTCTGCCACATCCAGGCATTGTAGTCTCATTCACAACTGAGGACACTGAAATTTAGGTTAAATAACTGATCGATCTGAGATTCAAACTAATTGTTAGACTCCAGAGTCAGGTTGTAAAGCTCGGAGTTTTATTTTGGCATAAACTCTGTGTGTGTGTGTGTGTGTGTGTGTGTGTGTGTGTGTGTAAAGATGGATTTAGCAACTTTAATTTGTTTAGATTCTCCTGTGTGAACTTTGACAGTTGAAGCAACAGGTCTGGAGACCTCGTTGCTTTGGTGATCTTTGGCAGACTCCTGTGTATCCTTAGTGAAGAGAGAATCTAGATCCTTAAGTTTCTGGGTTTTGTTTTTGTGTGTGTGAGTCCAGAAGTTTAATTTATATATCAAGAAACTACTGTAGTGTATCGTTTGTCTTCCAAATTTTAAATTGAGAGAGCACAAAAAGGGAGTTTATGGCTTGGTCATAGATGCCAGGGGAGAGGGGTGGGGGTAAGATTAAGTTCCCCAAAGCCTTTGCTACTGCTCCTAGCTTTAGAGCCCCCTACCTAGGTTTATGAAATAGAAGCGTAAGTACATAAATACACACACGTGTATATACGTATATATTCAAACACCCCAAATGTTTTAAAATCTTTTTCTGTGTGGTTGCACTAATTAAGATGGAAAATCAAGGTCTGCACATATTTATGTCATCATTTACCTTAAATATGGCTCAACCACTCAGATGCTAAGTAATTTGAGGCCCTTCTCTGGTTGTGTCTCAGCCAGGCACCCTGACTCTCTGGACCGCTCTCAATGGCTGTGCCTGTGGTGTCAGGCCGGGGCGGCCGTTGGTCGGGCCAGCACTGTGCCCACTTAACAGCCCGCTGCTCCTGACAGTGGTGTGTGCATGTCAGGGACTCTGCTGCCTGCTGGCCCCTCTGCCCTCTGGGCCAGCCCAGGCCTGGATTCCTGGCACGGTTTAGAGAAGAAAAGTGAAGCTTTCTAAATACTGGCAGGCAGGTCAGCTTGCTTTCCAGCCCAGAGAGTCCAGCTCAGCAGAGACAATTTATGTTGTAGTGTTGGCTCCTTGCATCTGACATGCATCCTAAATAAATATTCCAGGAAAGGGTGATTTTTTTTTTCCTCTCTCTCTTTTTTTTATCAGAATGGCATAACTTGGAAAGTTACAGTATCTTTTCAGGGTTACTTTCAGACTAACATTTACTAATCATTAGGATAGTAAAGAAAAGGAACCAATGTAAATCTTGATATTTTATTTATGAAGCTGCTTCTATTGATGCTTATTCAAATATGAAAATAACCGTCGACTTTTAACTCATACTCATATAACCTACCATGTAGGCAAGCATACTTTTTATGGAAAACATTTGAAATTGGAGATTAAAGAACTGAACATTAAGTTTTATGTTGTGTGGTATTGTGTGATAGAGCAGCTTGACTTTGTCTTTCCAGTATGATTTAGTGGGCAGTCCTGAAGTTGTTAGAAATGGCTGGCGGAGACAGTCTTTGATTTGGCCGTGTCTCTGTGAGTGCAGGTTCTGCCTCTGTTTTATTGGCGCTCTGGCACATTTTACCGTTGCAGTGCCAGGAACTATAGACTCCATCCCAGGGCCCTGGCCTCTCAGACAGGCCACTTTCAGGCCAGTCCTTTGATTTATCTGTGTTTGTTAAACAGGAGAGGGAGGGGCTTACATTCCATTTCTGCTCTATGTTGTGTAAGCGTCAACAAGATACGTATATTATAAGAAATGTCAAGTGAATGAGATGCTTTCCTGTTTATTTTCTTGCCAGGAGCTTGTATTGTACTAGTAATTCTGGGGAGGAGAAAGAGAAAGTGAATATGGTTCATTTGAGATCCTGTCTTCTATTTGTGTTACTTAATTTGCCAGCATCAGTGGTATTTTTCTATTAAGCTTAAGTTCATTGCTGATAGGATGTTATAACTACTGAAGTATTTTTGTCTTGCCTTACAATTCACATGAAAATTTCATGAGCTATATTTTAACATTTAGTTGGGAATTTAACTTTATTGTCAAAATATTTCTAGCAGATAGGTTGGTAGTTCTGTGTTGTATCTTATTTAATAAGTATCAAATATAATGGCAATAGTATTCAATTGTATCAAAACATTTATTTCCACTTTTGAGCTTTATTTTTTAATAGTCTTTTTGCAGTATGGGAAATAAATGACACTGAATTTTCCCCTTTTTCTTTTAAAGACTTTCAGCTGAACTCTCATCTCTCAACACTGGCAAATATTCATAAGATCTACCACACCCTTAATAAGCTAGTAAGTCAATTTTTTAAAGACAAAACTACCAGCTGTTCAGTTGTTTTAAGTGTATTTGATAAGAATTTAGATTACGGATATTAAGATATCAGCTGTTTATGAAAATATTGAATTTTAAAACTTGCTGTATGGTGTGTGATTTCTTGGTAATAATGAACATATTTCTTGCAGAATCTAACAGAAGACGTTGGCCAAGACGATCACCAAACAGGTATCTATAAATGCTATCACTACTTAATTTTCAATAAACTTCCTAATAGTTATGAAGGAGAAGCACTATCTGAGAACACTCCATGTTATTATAATACATCCCGTTAGCAAGTTGTTCCTTGGTTGAGGATCTTTCTCAGATGTATAGCGGCAGCCGTGCCTCGGCTCCTTCCCAGGAGGAGATGTGCTCTAGGGCTCTGGTTTATGACGGAGCACTTCAGTTCCTTTAACGGGGTTGGGGCTTCTCCCCAGTGGTTTGAAGATAGTCATTCCTTTACTGAAATATTTTAGCTTATACTAAAATGTAGTGCCGCTTGAAAGGTTTTCCATAAATGCTTGTTGACTTGAGCTATAAAATGAGTTGATAGGGAGATAGGAGTGTATCTGTGTGTTTTGCATGGGTCCTGAGGATTTGTGGGCTTCCCTGGTAGCTCATATGGTAAAGAATCCACCTGCAGTGTGGGGGACCTGGTTTTGATCCCTGGGTTGGGAGGATCTCCTGGAGAAGGGAATGGCTACCCACTCCAGTATTCTTGCTGGAAAATCCCATGGAGAGAGGAGCCTGGCGGGGTACAGTTCATGAGATTGCAAAAGCTGAGCAACTAACACTTTCTTTCACTTTGAGGATTTATGACTGGGAAATTTGAAAGTGGATTATTGTAAACAATTCTCTAGCATTGTGGTTCTCAAACTCTAGCTGGCATTATAATCGGGTGCAGGGAGGAGCTAGTTTCAGCGGGCTCTACCCCCAGAGCTTTGGGGTAGGGCCCCGTAATTTGCATTTCTGACCAGCTGCCATGTGATCCTGATGGAGCTGGTCTGGAGATCACACTTGGAGAACCACTTCTCTAAACCATGATAATCACAAAGTTCAGAAACTTGCACTTGATCTATAGTTATGATAACTTCCAGTGATAGTTATTAAAATATATTTTAAAGTTTTTGAAAGTTACCAAATAGTATATGAACACATGCTTGTTAGAGAATAGCACAAAAGCAAATGAAGGAAAACCCTCCTTTTGTATGCTGTTTTAATACTTATTCTTTCGGATATTTTTGTACCTGCATGTGTTTTCATAGTAGTAGAGTAGTGTTTTGTTGTTGTTGTTTTTAGCATTGGTGAGCTCATACTGTATATACTATATAGCATCAGTCTTTTTTTTTTTTTCATTTAATTTTTTTATTAAAAAAAATTACCTTGGAGGTTGTTGGGATTTAGAACTCCCTACCCTTCCCCTCCAGACTGACTCAGGATCAGTTGAAAATTAGGCATAATAAGATGGATATTGAACTAACAGTTGTGTTGGAAAACACAGCTTAGATGAACAGCAGAAATGCAGAAGCTCTTCAGTATTTCACCTTCATCAGACAGCCTTCCACACCATCACTGCCATAGCCAGTAGGGCACCGCGTACCTGGCCCACCTCTAACCCCCCACTTAGGGCAGTGGAGGGGCAGCAGCTTCTGCCGGCGGGCCGGGCTGAAAGGGCGTTCAGAAGGGGCTGGGCCCTCTGCTCAGTTCCCATGCCCCCCATTACCAATTAGATCACACATTCCTCCTCCCGGGGAAAGGGGTGAGAGAAGAGGAGCTGTGTTTTAGAAGGCCAGGCCACAGAGGGTCCCTTCACCTGATCTTTCTGTTTTAGTAAGCCTAGGTCAGGACAGTCAAAAACAGTTTCCTTAATAATTTTAAAAGCAGTATATGCGCATGATTTTAAAAGAAGTGTCTCAAAAGTATAAAAAAGCAAAGGTTGCCATCTAGTTTTATGAGCCCAGCTCCCATCCCCCTCTAGTACTACACCCTTGACTCTCCAGAGACAACTCTTATATTCTTGTATTTGTTTCCCAAATGATAGCGATGATATATTTTCCCCCAAATACAAGTATACATTTATATATGCCTCTTGTTTTTGTCACTCAGTGTATCTTGGAGATCTTTTTATAGCACATTTATGAAGCTGTATTTTTAATGACTGCATGATTTTCTATCTTGAGACTATATTATAATGTATTTCTGTTTATGCACACTTAAGTGTGTTTAACTTTTAGCTACTACCAATAATGCTGAAAAAACTTAAAAATATATATAAAGTTTTTCAGGGCCAGTTCTAATAGTTAAGAAAAAGCACATTTCTGTCTTCTTATTCTGGAAAAATGCATTGGTAGGCACTGGAGATTTTTTAAACTTGATAGTTGTTTTGATTTTTTAAAACTGAATTTTTTGTTGGTAGAGTGTTTCGGCTGTCTTTCCCTTGGCTACGATAATGAAGCATCTAAGTTTGCATCTTGTACATTATTTAGTTAATGTTGAACTTTGGGTTTAAGTGAGTATTGTTACTATAGTAATGTCACATTTAAATATTTAACCTGAATGTGGCAGTTTAATAACTCGGGGCTATAATTCAGAAACACTGAAGTGGAGAGTGCGTTTGGCCTCGCACCTCCTCTTCTGCCCTTGGGGACAATGGATGTGTCTGATGTTTGGTATATGACTTGCTGGTGCAGTGCCTGGTACCTCATACTTGCCAGTCCATGTCAACTAGCATTAGTAATTTCTTAGAGTAGTCCATTTCATTAACATTTTCCCATCTGGTTATAGCATCACTTGTGATTATCATATCTGACAAAGCATACTTGAAAAATTAAACAACATAAAATCTGTGATGTTTGGAAATCTGAGAAAGTTAATCATGTAGTGCCTCTTTGAATCTCTTCATTCAAGGGTAGACTGAGCAATTTCTATACCAACTGTATATGGAAGAGTGAAACCAAGTGCAAGAGGCCAGTATCTTTCTCCTCTCTTTCTTTTAATACTTTTCTTTGGTTCTTTCAGTCTTCCTACCACCAAAAAAGAAAAAGGGGAGAGAATGTACATTACTATTGGAGAAACAGCCCAAAATAGTGAGCCTGAATTTAAAAAGCCAGAGAGGACCAATAGTAATAATAATAGTGAGGGAGGATGATAGATGTTGGAAGTCGTATTGTTTAGAGAGAAAGGAAAAGAAATTTTTTAGTCTTTAACAGTAGGATAAAAATTGCACACTTGGACACTGAAGTTTTACTCAAGCAAGTAAGGAGTTCAGTGGTGTGTTTAAGAAAATGAAATAAAATATTTTGATACTGATAAGATGTCTTAAAATACAACCTATTTATCAACTTGGAGGAGAAAATGGCAACCCACTCCAGTATTGCCTGAAAAATTCCATGGACAGAGGAGCCTGGTGGGTTACAGTCAGTGGGGTTGCAAAGAGTCAGACACGACTGAGCACACTTGTATTTATCAACTTAAATGACTATACCTTTGTGAAATTGTTCTGTGAAAAAGCTATATAAAAATTATTGAAGTGGCAGAATGAACATATAAAATGTTATTAAGTGAGTCAAGGTTATATGATACAACAAACTCATAATGAAAATTAGATAGTGAGATTTTTGTATTGGAACATGCATTTATACTAAGTTTGGAAAAGTCAGAAAAAGATCTCTAATTGTAGAGAGCTCTTATTTGAGGATGAAACTGGGCGCACAATTTAATATGTCGTAGGAGAATTAATTCCTCAACAGGACCTTTTTTTAACTTGAGGCCCACAAGCAAATTGATTAAATTGAAAAAGTAGTGGAGCAGCTACTTAGATACCATTTATTAGGAATAACATACTTAGTTAAATTATTATGAAAACAGCCGGCTGCATAGGCATTAAAAGGCTTTGTGGTTTGATCCAGGTGAACTCAATTTGCTGTTTAAAATTGATTTTTCTGGGACCAACTATTAGATATGTTTAAGATGTTGCAGTATTTCTAATTGTTTAATGTTAGAAGAAGAGCTACAATTCATTGACTGATTTATTTGAAAATATGGTCAGATTTATTTGAAATTATAGTCAGTTAATAGACTAACTTATTTGTTCTCCTTTAACACTGAACCAAAAAGAAATGAACTTGAACTCAATCATAACCTTTGGTTAAAAAATAGAAACAATTTCTGTTGTTTTCCTAAGGATCATACAAACACTTCAGCATCAAAAGTGTTTCTAATGAGGGGAGGTTTCAGAGTCACTGTCTATCTAATGGAGAGATATTGCAGACTGAACACCAGAATGTCTATCACTGTAATGTGAAGGAGCCTGAATCATAGTTTGGGATTGCTAGTTGAGATTATTCATCCCTTCATCTTCCTACTTCTTTATTATTATAATAAAAAGGCCTTTCCTTTTTCGTAAGTGCCTGCCAAACGTTTCTAATGAGATTTAAGATGGATTCCTAAAATCTTCCTTTTTCCTCTTTTTTCTTTGCTGTTGTTGTTGTTCGGTTGCTCATTCATGTCCGACTGACTCCATGGACTGCAGCACGCCAGGCTTCCCTGTCCTTCATGATCTGGAGTTTGCTCAAATTTTTGTCCACTGAGTCAGTGATGCCTGATTGGCAAACGTTGGAAACTTGTAACTATGATCATTTCCCTCCAAAAAGGCTATAATATGATTGGAAGAGAAACCAGAGTATTAAGTCTGATCATTTCAAATGAATTTGTGGGTTAGTTAGCTTTTATTTGTTAATTATTTATTGAATAGGAACTTTGAGGAGCTCGGCTTACTGGCCAGTTTTCTTATATGTCGAATTGGGGTGGTAATAACACCTCTCAGGTTTGTGATGATAACTTTGAAAGTGCTTTGTAGTTATTAATTGAAAACATCAGCCTTAATATTTTGCCTCTTTACCTATAATGGCAGATTATTTGTACCTAAGTGGATACTTGTAGCAGGTTAAAATAGCTAAAGCTTCTTTAAAACAGATAAACATTCCATAAGATTCTTGTTTATATTATTTGCTTACTAAATTTTCAGTGTAAAATAAGTGTAATTCAGGTAGATTAAGTGATTCAAGTTCTGAGGCAGTAAAGTCTAAATTTAATGATACCGATAAATACAAATTTGTGAACCATTCATTTGGATTTAAGTGTCTTGATTATAAAAAGACATCACATAGTTATTTTAAGAAAAAAACATCAAAAAATAGTGGTTAAAAAAAAAAATCCCACCTGCCAGGATACTTGAGTCAAGTACTTGTCTTAACTGATAAATGGGTGAAAAAATCTGAAATGGTGGTGTATTACCTATTCATAGGTGTTTCAACCTCTGGAAATGTCCTTACTTCTTAGCAGAATTTGATTTAGAAATGTTTGAGGAACACATTTATTCAACAAATGTTTCTTCAGAGTCTACTGTAGGATATGTATACCTTACTACTGTATAATGATACTGTATTAGCTGCTCTGTCTGCTCAGGTGAGCCAGACAGAACCCTGCAAACCCAGATGTACTTTGGTGCGTGGACTTAAAAATCTTGAGTTGTTGCTTTTGCTCAGGTAGAATCCCTGAAGCCATACTGGGGGTTTAGGGCTGCCCCATCTTGAGTTGTATGCTGTCTATAAGTTTTTGTTGACTTGGTTCATGTCACCAAATTATTTTAGGTCAGCTTGTTTTCTTCAGCATTAAACACTTGCTTTTGAGTTAGCCTGAAACAAGTCATCGAGTTCAGGGATTCTGCCTGAACAGCACAGGGCTGTGCTGTGCCGTCCTCTCTGACTTCTCTGGGTTGCGAGTTGGACACATTCTTCCTGTGAGGTGGGGGTGATGGGGTCCAGGAGCCAGTGGGTGCCTGAACTGTAGCAGGCATCAGGAATGAACAGGAATGTTTCATTGTGAAGGACGGCTCCTGACAGTCCCTTACTTACGCCCATGATTAGAGCAGAGACATCTGAACGGGGGCCACGTGAATAAGTAAAAGAACAAAATGCCAAATTTGAGATGCTTTGGGGCTGAAATATGAATACGTTTTATGCCAGGAAAAGTGATTTGTGAAACTTTAACAGAAAGCATTCTTTAGTAAGAAAAAAGAAAGTTGAGAAAGTTAACTTATTTATGATGGCAGTGTTTCCACATAGAGGAGCTGGTGGTGGATCAGATCTTACTGGTGAATGTTGGTGGAAACATTGTTTTAAATGATGTTCATCTTCCCCCAGGCTGGGGAGAGGTGTGCATTTCCTGTGTTCTGTGAACACTGGTGGGAGGGGGAGGTCACTGCCGGACTGGATGCTCAGAACCTGACTGTGACTGGTGCGGGGGGACAGTGTCTCTCCTTCACACGTGCGCATCCAAAAGGGAGGAGCAAACCTCAAGTTGCTCCTTTCCGAGGAGCGTGGCAGGCTTTCTGGCAAGTTGGGTCACACTCTTTAGTTCTGCGAGCCGCACCCCGAGGCACTACTGGACAAGAATGTCTTGCCTGGTGGCGGTCTGCGGAAGCCCGGGGCTCTGCCCGCCTCAGACCTCCTCCTGGTATGTCGGGGTAAACAGGACTGGGTTCGCAGGGAGGACGGACGGGTGTGTATGGTGGCAGCACTTGCTCTGGCTCTTCTTCCTCTTCTTGCTACTGTTGTGAGAGAGATGAGGGTGTCTGGTGTCTCTGAAGAATCTTCTACCCCCACCCTGGCTGAGCTCCGGGAAGGGTGGCCGAGGGTCGTCTTTCCAGCCTGGGGGGCTCTGCCTGTGCCCTGAGGAGCCAGCCGGGTCCAATAGCCAGTGCTGGACCCCCGCTCGCTGGCGCCATTGTCCTGGTTTGTTTCAGGAGAGGTGCTTTTGGCTGGCCTCTTCCTAAAGTACATCGCCTGGAGGTGGAAGCCTGAGTGTGTCCAGGATTTAGGTTCCAGTCCCTGCCCTTGTTCTTTTCAGGTTGGAACCATTAGCTACTGACATCTCTCTCCCTGCCTTCCGAACAGCCTTCTGCAAAGAGCTGTCCCTGCTTTGCAGGTTGCTGGGTCCCTTCCCCAGCCTTACCCCTCCGCCTCCACCCCTTGCTGCTGCCTTTTACTGCTGCCTGCCCCTGCCCCACCCACTGCCTAGCTCACTCCTCCTCCTCAGGCCTCTGGGAGGACAGCACACTCACCCAGGTTTTCTCCCCACCCAGGTCCTCATCACCTTTTCCCAGTCCCCAACATCCACACTCCCCCAGGCTCCAAGGGCTTGGTAGCTCAGCTGGTGAAGACTCTGCTTGCAATGCAGGTGACCCCAGTTTGATTCCTGGGTTGGGAAGATCTGGAGAAGGGATAGACTACCCACTCCAGTATCCTTGGGCTTCCTTGGTGTCTCAGATGGTAAAGAATCTCCCTGTAATGCAGGAGACCTGGGTTTGATCCCTGGGTTGGGAAGATCCCTTGGAGAAGGGAACAGGTACCTACTCCAGTGTTCTGGCCTGAAGAATGCCATGGACAGAATAGCCTGGCGGGCTATAGTCAGTGGGGTTGCAAAGAGTCGGACACGACTGAGCTACTTTGACCTTTCCCGGGCTCTGGCCTCGGTCCCCTGCTTCTCAGCCTCTGCTGCTGTGGCCCTGTGGCAGTGACAGTGAGCGGTGGCAGGGAGCCAGTGCCTCGCTCCTGGGATGCCTGGGTTCCATCCTTGGTCCCACCTGCTGCTTTCCAGCCACTGCTTCATCTCTCTGCCTGAGTTTCCTTATTTGTAAGAATGGGGATGCTAAGGATGCCTTCCATCGTAGGGTGGTTTTAAGGATCAGGTAAACGTGGAACTCTGGCCTGAGCACATATCTCTTTTGTGAAACTCAGTTCCCAACATCTGTCTACACATGATGCTTGGCACCTGAGCCCTTGCTGAGTGGATGTTTTTCCCTCAGAAAACTCCTGAGGAGTTACCTCAGAACACTCCTGAGAAGGTCTCATTTTCAGATGGTGAACCAGAGACCCAGAATAGGTCATTGACTGCCCAAGCCACACGAACAGGTGAGGAGCCGGAGCTCATGCCCGGAGTGCAGGGCACCCGGCCCCTAGTGCCTGGCTCTCTGAGGGCCAGGCCTCTCACCAAGGCCCTAGCGGGTGAGCAGGATGCTGTCCAGAGTTCACCGCCTAGCATTTCCAAGACCTTGGGACGTCTCTTGAATGCATGATCCTTAGCTTTTCCCATCTGTGAGTAGAGATCATTATCTCTGCCCTGCGTGTCATTCAGTGTTATTGTGGGAACCAATGACATAGTACTTGTGCCAGGATGGGGTTGTAATTGTCTTTTAATTTACAATGGTTTAAAACAGTCTGAAGTGAGACTGTCTGGGTTTGAATTCCAGTTTTGCCACTTACTGACCTTTTTCTGCCTCCATTTTCTTATCTACGTAGGCATTATTATTCTCTTTTCATAAACTTGTCATGAGGTTAAGTGAGTTCATACATGTAAGTGTTAAGAGCAGGGCCTGGCATATGGTAAGGTCTCAATAGGTGTTCTATGATGGTGTTACATTTTTAATATCTTTTACCAAATTGAAGCTATGTCTCAGAGAACCCTGACCTTTTGGTCTTTTGACCAGAATCTTCTTTAAGTGGTGAAACAAACTAAAAAGTTCTATGGAAGTTTTGCTGAAGATCATATCAGGCTTTTGCCCGAAATCCAAATTGTGTGTGTAACATTTTCTCAAAGAGGAACTAAAAACCATATTTTCACCTTATAGCATTTACAGGTGACATATAAACCCTTCGTAGCATAAACTGTGAAAGCTGTTCATTCAGTGGTGGTGTTCAGAAGGGTTTCAATGTGGTCGTCCTTACTTTTATGCTCTTCACTGTGTCTTGTAGGAAGTCTGCGGTCTTGCAGTTCTTCAGACTGCTTTAGTAAAGTGATGCCGCCGAGGAAAAAGAGAAGACCTGCTTCTGGAGATGATCTATCTGCCAAGAAAAGTAGACACGATAGGTACGTTGCAGAGACAGTGGATCCACATTGATGGCATACGCGCCAAAGAGGCACATTGAGCTATGAGCCCAGTGTGAACCTTCCAAGTACACGAATACCAACTGGAATGTTGTTTTGGTTCTGATAGGCATACTTGCAAAGTGTAATTATTTCGTGATACTTAATGTGTGGGTTCATGAAATAAAAACGAATTAGGTAATCTGGGTTCTTAGAAATTTCAAGTTTTATCTTAGTCCATTGAGCCACCAAAACTGGTGTAGAGTTTCTTTCTTTCCTTTTAAGGGCTTGCTGTCTGTGCCTGTTGAGGACCTCAGGATTGGTATGTATCTGTTCTTTAAGAGGGTTTCACTACCTGCAACTGGAGCAGGATTCCCATAGCTGCTTTTGCAAGGACCTGGGCCACGTGGCTGAAGGGAGCTGCCTGTCCCGAGTGTTCTGAGCCTGCATGGAATATTAGCTGAGCTGATGTTCCTTCTCTGAAGAGTGAGGATTTGTTAGGAGCCATGAAAAACAAGACTGTTGAGACCACTTCTCTTTCAGACAAGTGACCTGCTAATTTTGGTAACTCCCAAGGTCTGTTAGGTTGGCTTATTTTAGGCATCTTTACTGTTTCAGCCAGATTTTAATGGACACTTTTGTTCTCTCTTTTTTAAACAGTGAACAGACATCATAGTTTTAATCTTTTCTGCCTTTTCCTATCTTCCTCCATTCTGGCTCTGTAGGTCATTTCACTTCACTGATGTGGCCTGAATTGCCATATTGATGATCAGAGGGATCAGATGAGATCTTTCTGCTTCTTTCTCATTGTGATGTTTCATATACTACAAGTCTTAGAGGGTTAGAGAGATGGACTCTGAGAACATGAAAATCGTGTCACTGTTCCTTTCTCAAATGAGTGGAAAGTATTTGAAAAAACTGTAGCCGTGATTTAGAAGATAATCACCAACACAGTTTAGACCAGTGATTCAGCTTTATGAAGCCAAGCTCCTTGACCATTTGGTGATACAGATATGATTATCAAGGAATTGTTAAATTCTGATTATCACATAGCATGACTGTATGTATCACTTACTATTTTTTCACTGGGGTCTAAATTCTTCTAGTGTGATAAAGCCAGTTTAAAGTCTGTACAAGGCTGAATTTTCTTCACTAATTCAACCAGAATAGTATATCTCAACAATCTGAATGTAGAAACAGATAATGATAACTGAACAGTCTAATATAAAGCCATATTTTTAAAGCATTTGCAAAAATGTAAAATAATGCCCCTCTTCTCACTTATTTTTAAAACTAGAATTATTTTTCATTAAAATACAGTGTTTTAATACACACAAAAAAACTGGTAGTTGAGTTGCAGAAAGGTGTGAGATATTCTCATTGATAGCATTTCATTGGTCACCCAAGGCATGGGGAGCTAATTCTATAGCTGGATGATTTAGTTGAGTTTCATTCTTGGTCTTTTTTGGAAAATTTTTATTTACATACCACAATGTGTACAGTTTTAAGTGTACAACTCAGTAATTTTTACTGAGTTTGTTTTGCAACCATCACTACAAACCAGTTTTAGCTCTCACCCCAGTTGGATCCTTGACGCCCGCTTACAGTCTGCCTGCCCTTATTCTCAGCCCCAGGGAACCACAGATTCACTTTCTGTGCCTTCGTATTTGCCTTTTCTGAAGATTTCACATAAATGAACCTTTATGTGAAATGCCTTTTTTTTTTTTGCTTAGCATAGTTCTTTTGAGGTTCTTCCATGTAGTAGCATATATTATTTATTTTTTTCTGAGTGTTATTCCAGTGTCCTTTTTTATGTAGAATATTGTCAGGTAATTCAGACATTACAGTGTCTTACATAGGTCTCCAGTTAATTGACCAGTTACAGACTTTGAGCTGAGAAAAAAATGTCCAAGCCCAGGACTAGAGCAAATCTGTTTGAACCCCTGGCCAGTATCCACCTTTGTTTCCAGGCGGTATGGCTGCTTTTTATAGAGGAAATACAAAACTAGTGGTTTGTGGTTTCAGTACCTTAGTACCCTATAACATATTTTGGGATTTTTTGGGTATGAAAACCCAGAATCTCTAATTAGCAGTATATACAGATATCCTGGTGAAAGTCTCGATCGTGAATAAGTGCTCACTTCAAAAGAATTATGTATGATACTATATATTATGTAAATAAAAGCTGTATTCATAAATGTTCATATATAAATAAGGGATAAAACTTATAACTTTTCTATTGAAATCACTGTTTGTAATGATGCTGATTCTTTTCCCCTCCCCAAGTAGGGAATGTCTTGCTCCTCAGCCCCATGCCGTCATGAGATAAGGAGTTCCTGACGAGGGTCACAGAGGGCAGGAGGAGGCCCTGTGCTTGCTGACTCAGTTCTCCAGCTTATGCACTGGTTCCACAGGCTGGGACACGCCAGGAGCAGGGCAGGAGCCAGGATTGCTCTGTATTTCTTTTTCCTGAGGTTTTTTCCCCTGGAGGCTTGTTCATAATTTGATATTTCTTTTCATTTGCTTAACAAGTTTCTTGGAGGTCTCTACTATTGCCAGGTTCTTCCTTAGACTGTGCTCTGTGCCCAGCCTGACTCAGATGACATGGGCATCAGGAGAACTTAATTCAGGAACACGATTGAATTCTAGGGTCTTCAGTTGAAGAAAATACCAGCGACATTTCTTCCTGCATCTCACTATTGTTCTGTGTTGGTTCTGGCTAGAGAGGTAGAAAGGTGTATATCAGATACTTGTTCAGTTCAGTTTTTACTAGCTATTTGTTCATCGGAGAAAAACCTGTATTAAGAGCTTACCATTTAATTCTATACTAGGTATGACTGTGTTTAAAACTATAGCTATTAAAGGTGACGCTTCCAGATGCAAGAAGTGGAGTGTTCTAAATGTATGTGAAATACCTATTGACTAGGTATCTGATTGGGTAATAAAATAAAAACTACTTGTTACTTAAAAAAACTCAGTATCTTTAAATAACTTCTAAAACTCCTTTCTCAATTTCTAGCATGTATAGAAAATATGATTCAACTAGAATAAAGACTGAAGAAGAAGCCTTTTCAAGTAAGAGGTGCTTAGAATGGTTCTATGAATATGCAGGTAGGTAATCACCTAAGGCTGAGCCTCATGAAAATGCAGAGTGCTTTAGAGGAAACTGAAGAATTAAAGAAAGAGTGCTTCTCGAATTTGGGGTGTGTGTCTGTGTGTATGTGTGTCTTCCTGTTTTCGAGAGGGAGCACCGTTAAACAAATCACCGAGGTTCTATTTATAGCCAGCAGCTAAGCCAGAGAACTCAGAGCACTAGAGGGAACTGAGAAGATGAAATGCACTTGGGAGAAATAGTTTGGATTGCTAGGAAACCTGTTGAGAATGCTGGTAACGGGTGGCTGCTTGGTTCGTGTGTCCAAGTTAAAATAGGCGTTGTTGCTTTGAACCTTTATGTCATGCAGTGGAATTTCTTATGTTGTGTCTCTGTTTTGAAAAATCATTTGGCAGACAGTGTTGGTTTTGTCATTTAAAATATCTTAAAACCAATCCCATTTTTGCAGTTTATTATAACCAGTTGAATAATATTGAAATAAAAGGTTTGTTTTTGTGGCTGTGTATGGTGTGGAAAAAGGGGAAAAGAAAAACTTTCAGACAAGTTTGAACTGAAGGCTATTTTACTTTTCCTCTTCCCCACCAAATTTCTATCCCAGCGTATGCACTTGACAGGTCCAATGACCTTCAAACCAATTTTCTCAGTATCAGTCTCTACCCCCAATCAGTCTATGTGTTGCCTGTTGTCTAATTTGAAGAAAAAAAAATTGAGCAGATCATACATGTCATTCCCTAACAATCCACTACACCCTTACCCCCACTTAAAAACCCCTACTACCTGCGGGAGAAAAGACAGCTAACTCACAGTGGTCTCTTGCCTGGAGTGTTTTTCTCCAGTTTTCCATTTGACAAGCACATGGTGCATCTCTTAGCTTAATTAGCTTAATAACCTTCTTTGTACTCCTACAGGAAGGGCATTGCTCATAACTGGTTTCCATGCCCTTTTCTTGGGTTTCAGAGTGAGAATTCTTCCTGAGGCCAGTGTTTTCCTCCCACCCCACCCTTTTCTGATAAAAGTCTTGCCCACTTTGGCCACAGAGATTGTTCCTGGGGCGTGCAGGTAACCCAGGTCAGGACCATCAGATAAAATGTCCTGGGGTTTTCAGATTGAAACTGGAAGAAGAGCCTTTTTATCTTCTGGTGGTAGACTTGAATGGATGTGATCCTGATTTCCTGTAGTCTTTTGGATTTTTGTGAGCTACCCCAGTGTCTTTCTAATGAATTCTCTTTCACTTGAACTAATTTGAGCTGGGTTTTATTTGCAGGGATGGACACACAGTGTAGACACTTACATAGTATTAGAATTTGTCTTTTTCACGTTTAGATCTTGAAAGCATGACTCTCTTGAAGACAGTTTGTTCCTAGTGAAAGTAGTCAGTCGGCACGTTTCCAGGTGTTCAGTACTTGGGTCTGAGTGATGGAGCAGTTTCTCGTATTCCTGTCACTTTGATTATGAAAATCTCTTGCTTTCTTTTATTGGTTCACATTTATTGTAATGACATGTATTATAAGAAGGAAAGTTTAAACAGAAAAGGTACACTTAATCCCACCACCATCACACAATCATTTTGATACTGTTGTGTCCTTTATGAGCAAATATAAATTTTTCCATAGTAAAAGCCACACTTCTGTTTTCCTTTAAAAGGAAACACAGTACAGTTTTTCCTTCTTGATTGCTCTTCTCTGGTTCAAAAAGGTGACATTTGGGATAAAGATTAAGCTGCATTCTTTAGGTTCCTTGAGACCCCTGCCAGGTGGTTCGTTGTGGGGTTCATTACTGCAAGAAGTTTCTGTGGTGTGGCTCTCCCTATTTTTATACCCCCCCCCCCTTTTTTTTGTATCTCATCAGGAAAAATGACTTGAAATTGGGAATAACTAAAAGCCCCACCTGGCACCTTCTTTCATTTTTTAATATCCCAACCACATGAATAAAAACTGTAGTTCAGTGTTATTCAGGAAAAACACACGGTGAGGGGCCGCAGGAAGGTTGACGGGCTGTGCTGGGGGCTAGTCTGGGGGCAGAGAGTGAGGCTGCGGCCCCGTGCCTGGATGAGGGTCCCCCTGTGGTGTGGTGGTGTTCCCTGGGAGACAGCCGCCCGCCTGGGGTGACTCCCTGCCCGGAACAGAGTGGAGTGCAGGGTGGTAGGGGCCTTGGCGGTGCAGCCCCCTGACACAGCCGGACCTTTCCTCTCCCCAGAGCTCTCAGCTCCACTTCTGGCCCTGACCTCTGCCCTCCGCCCTCCCTTGGCCTGAGCCTAGCCCTCCTTTGCACCTCTTAGGATACAGCCTCTTGCCTTTTAAAATCCCTGTCAACTTAGTTTCTGATTCTCAGAGATTTGATAGATGAAACTGCCTCAACTGCGGCTCTTGTCCTGTTCTCTGGTTATAGGTTTACTCACTTTGGTACTCTAGTCCTCTGACTTTAGAAAGGGTTGCTGAGGGCAAGATTGGGGGAGTGTCTTATTTAGACCTCTGTCTGAAGCTGGAATCTCATTTCTTTTTCATTAAAATAACCAGCTATACATAAATAATTTAATAGCTTTCACCTTCTGAAGTATTATATCTAAGAATAAGAGATGAGAGCAAGTACCCAAGTGCCAACATTTAAGTCACACTGAAGCTCACACATGTGAGTTGTAAAGGTTCTGCAAGTCCTGATTGTAGGCTCTTCATCTCTACTTTGAATTAGGTTCTATAGCAGAGCTGTGTTTTGGTTTACCAAAGTGAGGTTAGGGATCAGAAACAGTGGGCTGTCGGTGAAGGAGACAGTGTGGCCCCTTTTGCCCCAGTGATGCAGTGTGCTGTGATTATGGAAACTGTACCATGATGGTCTTGGGCCCTCATGAAGAGGTTAAATATATTTAGTTAGGAGCCCCTGCTTAAAATAGCAGTGAAAGTGGGAGGACCGCTCTCTTCTAGATTATTGTCAGTATATCTACCTTCTAAATGTACCTCTAGTATCATATCACTAGGGCATTCCATAGCTTTTAAACCATCTCCCTCAAACCTGCTTTTAATCCACTTTGTGTTAGCCAGTGGCCTGTTTGTTAGATTGTTGTTTAGTCGCTAAGTCATGTCTGATTCTTCTGTGATCCCACGAACTGTACCCCTCCAGGCTCCTCTGTCCATGGGATTTCCCAGGCAAGAATACTCGAATGTGTTGCCATTTCCTCCTCCAGGGGATCTTCCCAACCCAGGGACTGAACCTGCATCTTCTGCACTGAAGGAGGACTCTTTACTGCTGAGCCACCTGGGAAGTCCTTTTGTTAGACTAAAATTGCTCAGTTCTACAGATAAATGATAAGTCTAGTGTCGGTACACCCATAAGGCCAGTGAACAATGTGATTACAAATAGATCTGAATGTGTGCATGGGAATGATAATGAGAAAAAAGGAAAAGTTATTGTAGATAACAGGATTATGGGTAGTGTTTAAGTAATGTTGACTGATAAGCTCCATTTTAATTTTTTTAGGATAAAATATTAAAGTAATAGGAGTCATGCCATTGGAAACCATGCTGTTAAAAACCTTGTTTTTTATAAAATACACAGATGCAAGTGTATATAAGTAATATGACAATAGCATTGCATAAAATGTGAAAAAAAAGAAAAAAGCATGGGAAACTTAATATCACCACTGCCCAGTGTAACTCAGCAAAGCTCTGAGGGCCTGCTGCATGCCAGGCTGTGGGGTGAGTGTGGACGGCCGGAGTGCTGCGCTTGGAGCTCATTTTGTTGTGTGATAAACAGACAAATGGAGACGCGCCATCACTGTGATGAGCATTGACAGGGAGGGGAGGTAGGGTTGGAGGGGGTGTGAGTGGGGCAGCCAGCTGGGAGACCCCCAGGCCCTGTGCCCAGGCAGGGGAACGGCAGGTGGCTTGCCAGGCTCAGGAATAGGTAGCAGAGAAAGAGGCTTTTTTTAGATCATAGAATATAGAAACCAAAGACAAAATTTTTTTAAGATTGTAAAGTGCTTTTTTCCCCTCAGCTTTGTGTAACCACCTCCCAATGAGTCCTTTCAGTAGATACTAAAAACTCATCTGTTCCTACAAACGGAACCTCTTAGCAGGCTAGAAATAGATGGATACTTCCATCGGATATCATTGCTCTTCAATCTCAGCCCAGATAACTTTACGGTAGTGGAATAATAAGGGCTATGAAACATGGAGTTCACACACAGTGGCCTACGGTGGAGTAGTGTACAGAATATCGGCTGGGTGTTTTTACGGGAAGATCACCAGATGGTAAAATAAAGCAGGATATGGTCTGAACCATGTGCATAGATAAACAAGTTAAGAACCCCATCTCACTGTATATTTGCGCGTACATAAATACATAGCAGAATGGTCCAAGAGAATACATGCCTGCCTGGTAAGGAAGAGAGGAAGGCAAGCTTTGTCTTGTCTTTACTGCACTTGGACTTCTCTATTTGAACGTTTCACCACATGAATGTATTCATGTATCGTTTGTGTAATGTATACGTGTGTGCACATGTAGGTATATGCACACGTGTGTGTGTGCTTAGTCACTCAGTTGTGTCTGACTCTTTGTCACCCCATGGACTGTTGCCCACCAGGTTCCTCTGTCCATGGGATTTTCCAGGCAGAGATATTGGAGTGGATTGCCATTTCCTCCTCCAGGGGACCTTCCCGACCCAGGGATCGAACGCGGGTCTTCTGCCTTGGCAGGCAGATTCTTTACCACAGACACCTGGGAAGCCCATATGCACACACAAACCCAAATGATAAAATGCTAACTGTATTCCCGTTTGAGTCAAGAATGAGATAAGGGTGCCCATTCTCACTCTTTCTTATTTGCCATTGTTTTGGGAGGTTATTAGCTAATCCTGTTAGATAAAGAAAGGGCATAAACACAGGAAAATAAATAAATAATACATAAATAAATAAATACAGGAAATAAACAAATCATTCATTGAAGATGAAATGATTGTTGTGTACCTGGAGGCCAAAGAGAATTGCCTGAAAAACTTTTGGAAATAAATATGTATATATTTACTGTAGCTAAAATTCTATAAAATAGCTTATTTGAGGAAGGATTTTTAAAGAAATTCTTCTGGGGTGTAGGGAAAGGTTAGAAGGAAAACTTTTGCTTTTTTAGCACTTTTATTTTCAGTTTTAATTGAAATTTCATATCATTGTATGTATTAATGTTGCCCAAAAAATTGAATTAAAAATTAAGTAAAGTTTTATTTGATTTTCCTGTAATAAGACAAAATTAAGGATACCTTGAAAAACATGTAAAATAAAAGGAGAAAAAAGAGAAAGTCCCCAAAAAGATAACAGATTTGAATTATGTGAAAGGAAATTATTTGTGACAAAATAGCACATTTGTGATTAAAAGGCAAGTAAAACAGGCAGAAAAAGTATTTGCTCTGGCTAGATTATGTGGAAGAGCCTGAGTTTGGACTTTTAAGAGAAGCCAAGGACTAGAAGAGAGAAGTGACATAGGACTGACCAGTAAGCGTGCAAGGTGGTTTTAATTGTCGCCCTTTGTTGAGAACAGCCACCGTATACTTTGTGATCTCGTTATTACTTTGCATTGAGATTACTCTCGTGCTTTATTTCCAATCTTGGTGGGCAGGGACCATGTATTACTCCTCGTCAGCTACTTCTGCAGGGAATAGCTCCAGGATGTGCCCCGTTGATAACACTTGGATAAAACAGGCATTTAGATGGATTCTGCTGATCTTGGCAGCTTGGTACATCTGAAGGCTGTGAAAGATTGTGGAGTGATTTTTGTATTCTGATATCCATCCATTCATTCAATAAAATTTATGGAGCAACTACTTCATGCCAAGGTAGTAGGTTGAGGTTATAAGAATAAATAGCTCTTACTCTGTTGGAATTTAGAAGGAAAGGTAGATGAGCTGGGACTCGATGCAGATGTGGGAAAAGCATTCCTCGCATTGCATGGGGACTGCCTGGCCCGGCCTCCATCGGTGGGAGTGGGGACGTTGGGAGGGCTGCCTGTATGGTCCCGTCTGCAAGAGGGAAGGAGCTCATGTGAGAAGAGGGGAGAGGGAGGTGGACTGAGCCCCACGAGTAGTACCACATGTAGTACCGTGTAGTAGTACCACATGTAGTACCGTGTAGTAGTATCACATGTCAGGGTATGTGTGCGGAGCGAACCGTGGGTAGGCATTTCTGGATCCTAATTTTTGTTCATTCAGCAATATTTATTTGATTCTTTTATATCCGGGAAACTTGATTTGAAGGTGGAAAGTTATGAGGCTTAAGAGGAAGGGTGGCAATAGATCATAAAGAACCTTATTTGATATGCCAGAGACTTTGGACTTCATCCATAGATGGTAGGGAGCTTAAAAGAAGGATTTTAAGCCAGGATGGAGTTTATGTTTGAGGTGGACCCTCCAGGCGGCTGTGTGCAGGATGAGGCTCTGGAAACAGGGAGACCCTGAGGGTGCTGCTGAAGTCATCTAAGTGAGAGAAGGACGTCTGAATCACAAGTCAGCAGTTGAGAAATATTTGGAAAGTAAAATTGGCAGGGCACTGAATCACTGATTGGCTCTTGAGAATGTAGGAGAAGGGGGAACTGCGGGATGAGGCCTTCCGTTTCAGCTAGTGACCCGGGTTGAGACACTCCGGAAGGATAATCTCAGCCACTCCAGGGAAGCCACATAAAGCAGAGACGGACTGTGTCTGCTGGATGTGGTGATTAGAGCTGATCGGTGGCCTTGGCAAGGGTTCCATGGAGGGAGAGGGACAGGAAGCAGTGGCCGTGGTTGAAGAGTGAGTGGGGCTGCGATAGAGCTGTGATGTGTGGACACTGCTTTCAGGAAAAGAGAGAGCTAACGTGGAGTGCGAAGAAAGCACTTTTGCCTTGTGTAGAACAAAAAAGACTGCTGATTTTTTTTTTTTTTTCAGTGTAAAAGAAACAATTATATTACTTCCCAGTTAATTTTATAAAGAATATTAGGTGGTTTTTTACTGTTTCCAAAATTTATTTTATGTGTTGAAATTATTATCAAAATAAGAATAGAGTTTTATAAGCTACTTTAAAGAATAGAAATTGAATACCTGTAACCTTGTCTTTCGGAGAAGGCAGTGGCACCCCACTCCAGTATTGTTGCCTGGAAAATCCTGTGGATGGAGGAGCCTGATAGGCTAAGAGTCGGACACGACTAAGCAACTTCTTTCACTTTTCACTTTAACTCATTGGAGAAGGAAATGGGAACCCACTCCAGTGTTCTTGCCTGGAGAATCCCAGAGACGGGAGAGCCTGGTGGGCTGACGTCTGTGGGGTCGCACAGAGTCGGACGCAACTGAAGTGACATAGCAGCAGCAACCTTATCTTTAAATATCAATTATATGTACATCATTTGTAGGTTGAAGGACTCGGCCATAAATTGATGTAAATGATTGTGCAAAGCAGAGTCCTTTAAAGATAGAACTTAAATTCCAGAATATTTTTCAACTTATACTTGGTAATTTCTTCCTTCAGGAAGGCTTATGGTCCTTAGGTGTTATTTGATCTTAATAAGTATTTTAACAGTATAATGCTACAGTAGTAATAATATCTGTACATGGTTAGATTTACTTTATATAAATTGCATTTCATCACAGGTACTGATGATGTTGTAGGTCCTGAAGGCATGGAGAAATTCTGTGAAGACATTGGTGTTGAGCCAGAAAATGTAAGTCTAACTTACTAATTTGGGCAAATCAGTTGATCTGATTTTGTCTCTCAACAAATAATGCAACAGTAAAGAAGGATATGTTAGTTTTTATGAGGCAGTCTAAGAAGTAAGTTCCATTCTGAATTGGTTTGTAAAGCAGAACTTTTTTTGCAGTTGATGTGTAACTAGAGTTAGTCATTTTTTTTCTCATTTAATTTCTTAATTTCTTTAATTTCACTAATCAAGTAACTAAAGTAGACGTTAAAAGTGGTGTGCGCATGTGTACCTCCGATGACAGATAACTAGGGGATTGTGTATCTTTGTCCTCCTCTGTAGTTGTTCCAGCCTAATGTAGAGTTTGTCCAGGACTTTGAATAATTAATTATTTATAAGAGTTTTGAATAGGTTGTAATTATCAAGGATTTTTCACAGCTCCTTCACTTTCAGTTGAATTTAGCTTGGAAAGTGATTGATTTTTAGTGTAAAAACCCTAAGTATTTCCCTTAAAAACTTCAATTAGAAGTTTTTTACATGCTTAATTATTTTTGCCTAATTCTTATCATCATGTTATTATTGAATATTTTTCCTATTCCCACATCTGTCTTACTGTAAAATGAAAAATTATACAAATGCCCTGGCACGTTAGCTATACAGTTTAATATTACAGGCCCCAGTTTAACAAATACTTCTTACATCTTCAATGAATTTATACTCTGGTAGAGCTCCCAAGGGATCATCCCTTTCATCAGAGCAAGCATTGGTAAAATAACCTGGTGCTCATGCCGATATGTCATGCTCCTGGAGATTTCGCCAAGAAATTTTATTAAAAAATTTTTTGTTACCATTTCTATGCCCACATCTTCCCCACTTTCTCCCAGTAACACTTTAAATTTTCTAAAGAGCCTTTGGACTGATTTTTGCCTTGTATTTTTAATTTTAATGTGATCTAGTTCAGGTTGTTGTTCATTTGCCAAGTCATGTCCAACTCTTTGCGATACCATGGACTGCAACATGCGAGGCTTCCCTGTCCTTTGCTGTCGCCTGGAGTTGGCTTAGATTCATGTCTGTTGGCTCAGTGATGCTCTCTAACCATCACATCCGCTGCTGACCTCTTCTCCTTTTGCTGTCAGTCTTTCCCAGCATCACGGTCTTTTCCAGTGAGTCGGCTCTTTGCATCATGGGGCCAAAGTATTGGAGTTTCAGTCCTTCCAATGAATATTCAGGGTTGATTTCCTTTAGGATTGACTGGTTTGATCTTGTAGTCCAAGGGACTCTCAAGAGTCTTCTCCAGCACCACAATTCGAAGGCATCAATTCTTTGGTGCTCAGCCTTCTTTATGGTCCAACTCACATCCATACATGACTGCTGGAAAAACCATAGCTTTGTCTATTCAGAACTTTGTTAGCAAAGTGATGTCTTTGCTTTTTAATATACTCTAGGTTTGTCATAGCTTTCCGTCCTATGAGCAAGCTTCTTAATTTCATGGCTACAGTCACCGTCCACAGTGATTTTGGAGCCTAAGGAAGTAAAATTTGTCATTGCTTTCATTTTTCCCTCATCTGTTTGCCATGGAGTGATGGGACTGGATACCATGATCTTAATTTTTTGAATGTTGAGTTTTAAGCCATCTTTCTGGTTCAGATGTCTTAATACATTATTCAGATTGGTGCGAAGGTCTGGGGACAGCTGGGTCAGTAGTGTTTTGCTTAATCTGGTCCATAGCCAGAAAAGAACATAGACAGAAAAGAACATTTCACTGACTTTAAGAAGGAAGTTTTCTGACAGGAAATGGGCTAAGGTTGACAAGTGTTTTCTGGAGGGCAGTATAAGAGGGGCGAGAGTGAGCTGGCTCTGAGAGGAGTCCCGTTTCTACCCAGGGAACAACAGTCGGCATGTAATTGGGGGTGGACCGCAGGACCCGATGGTGGGGAGATGGGGAGGTGTCAGGCCGCAGGTGTCAGAGGGATTAAGTGGGCGTCTGCTCTCAGGGGAGAAAGGCCTGTTGTGTGGGGGAGTGCCACAGCTGCTTCTGAGCAGAAAACTGGCAAGGCCCCGTGCTTTAAAGTTGCTCACCCCAGATACCAGCGTGTGTGTCGGTCGCTCAGTCCTGTCCGACTCTCTGTGGCGCCATGGACTGCAGCCTGCCAGGCTCCTATGTCCTTGGAATTTTCCAGGCAAGAATACTGGAGTGGGTTGCCATTTCCTACTCTAGAGGATCTTTGCAGCCCAGGTATCGAACCCTAATCTCCTGCATTAGCAGGTGGATTCTTTTACCACTAGTGCCACCTGGGAAGCCCCCAAATACCAGTACTCAATAAAAAATAGTTGCCATGATTATCTTTTTTGGTAATTATGAGTCTTTGGTTCTCCATTTCTGTAGGAATAGAAATAATCTTGAAGTGTTGAATCACATAGAAGACCAAAAGACCCAATGCAGACTGTTATTCTAAAGTATTTATTACTGTATTTCAATTTAAGATGCCACTAATAGAAATTTTATTATTTTATTCATCACTTAAAGGGAAAAGTGTTAAGTAAATCTGATAAGCCATAAGCTGTGGATGCATCCCAGTTTTAGAAATTGTTTGAAAACAGACACTGAAATAGTTTTTTAAAGGCTTATCTGTATTGATAAGTGAGCACTTTAAAGCATTTAAAACCCTCACCCTGCCTGATATTTATAGCTCATGAAATGTAAGCAAGGCTTGTAAAATTCAGGTCGGCTTTCATTCACTGAGGTAATACTGAAGTGCTTTAGTTAGCTTCTTATTGGCTGTCCTGGTGAAAGGTCTGTTTTGTGTAAAGAAATTCCCATTGTAATGCTTGCTTTGGCTGTTTGGCCACATTACATGCATACTGTGTGTGTGTGTTCCTTTGCCATAACTTTTTTATTTTCTTAACTTAAAAAGTGTTTGTGTGGAGTGCTTAATCTTTCTAACAGAGGACTGAGTACAGACGCTGTCTGAGAGCATACCAGTGTGAATTAAAAAGTGTGCATGCCACACCTTCTTTGTCCGTTGCCTTGTTTGTGGACGCTGAGGTTGCTTCCATATCTTGGCTTGCCTCATTTTTTATGTTATATCACCCTGATTTCCTCTCACTGTCACCATCATCTGACCCAGTTGGGCACCATCTGACCCAGGTCGTAGTGTAATGGTGTGGGGCAGTTCTTCTGGTGTAAAGAAATGAGATTACCTGCCAAATGCCATGTTTGCTTGTCCCCAGCCAACTGTATTATAGAAATATGTATTTTCGGCCCATTGCCCTTTTTTTTGTTACACCAAATAGACAAACAGCCGTTCAGGGTATGTGTGGTCTCCAGTTGAGAACTCGAGTTCCCTCCTGTATGAGTGACTGTCCAGAGATTGCCAGCCTTGTAGAGTGGCAGGCTGGTCCTAGGAAGGCCCCGTCCCACTTCTTCACCTCTCCAGGAATGGCATGCTTTGTTTTTAAGTTACTCCTCATCTTGTCCTGGGTCTTGAAGTAGATGAGGTGGGAGGGCTTCCTGTTCTCTCCCCAATCTAGACGGCCCCAGCTCTGTCCTTGTGTAAGAACCCCAGAGAGCTCGAAGCTGGAGGCATCTTCAAAATGTAATTTTGTCTTCTATACCTTCAGGTATTTATTAAACTCAACCCTAACTATCTTGGTGCCACCCTTTTCTCTAAAACATCTAAGTGAAGAAGTGATGATCAGTGCCATAAACTGGTTGTCACAGTTGCTCACAGCAGCAGAGTTTCAGAAGATCCACTCACAGCAAGGATGGTACCCACTGAGAAGTGCCTGAGGGCAGTCTGTTCAGTCTGTGCGTGTTGCAGGCACAGCGCCATAGACGTGGAGTGTTGGGCTGCATTAAAGTCATCTCCCCCCTTTTAGAGTTGAATTTACAAACATGATGTCCACTGTCTGTCCCACCACCTACCTTTTGGGTTTTAACACTCTGTTCTGCACATCTCTCTTCATTTTCTCTTAAATCTTGGAAACTGTTCCATATTTATGTTGATGGCTCCACTTCATTTGTCTCAATAGTGACATCGTTTTCCTTTGTGTAGAATGTGTTTAGCAAAGGTGTATTAAGTCGTCCCTTACTGGTAGGTATTTGGTTGTTCTCAGTTTTTTACTACTACAGATGGTCCTGTAGTAAGTCCTGATGCCTGTTCAGCTTTGTGTACGTGTGCAGGTGTAGCTGTGAGATAACCTTCTAGGTGGAACTGCTGCTTCCAGTTTCGATACTGCAGATCCTCTTTGGAGAGGTTAATCCCTTTATCCTTTGACCATCAGGCATCAACAGAAGTCAGGTTTGTCCAAACCCTTGTCAGCAGACTGAATTATCAAACTTCTAGATGTTTGCCAAACTAAAACTCATTTTCGAGTTACCCTGTTCATATTTCAGTGACTAAACTACTGTGAACATTTGGTGTGATGTTAATGTATTTAATTGCTGAGGTCTGTTCTCCTGATTTGATTGGTCTTTCTGCTTTGTTTTGTTTTAAACAGGTAGTTATGCTTGTCCTAGCTTGGAAATTGGATGCACAAAATATGGGTTATTTTACTCTACAGGAGTGGTTAAAAGGAATGACTTCTCTACAGTAAGTCCCAAGGCTGCCCTGGGATGGGGGTGGGAGTGGGGGTCCTTGCTCTCCTCTGGCTGACTGCCTCCCTCTGGGACCTCATTTGGGTTGGGTGACTGGAGGAAAGCCTGGGGATCTGGGCAGGCTTCACCTGTGGTCACAGGTGTGAAGACCAAGCCCCTTTTTCATATGTGGAGGAGGGCTATATGGATAAATTTTAGCAATTGAGGTTTTTATATAATGTACACTGTTTATTTTAGTATTCTTCTAGAGCAGTTCAATAGAAATGGATCATCCTTTTTTGTCATATATGTGAGCCACATATATAATTAAAAATTTTCTAATAGCCACATTAAAAAAAGGAAAAAGAAACAGGTAAAATTTGTCTTAATGTATTTTACTTAGCCCAGAATATCCAAAATATTATCATCCTAACATTAATCAATATTTTAAAAATCACTGAGCTATATTTTACTTTTTTTTCATATCGAATCTTTGAAATCTGGTATATATTTTACATTTATGATACATCTCAGTCTTCATCAGCTGCATTTCAGGTACCCAGTTGCTGTGCATGTTGAGCAGCTACCATGTTCGACAGCATAAGTTTAAAATCATAGTGTTAGCATCTGGTTTATAGTTAGTGAGAACAGTTGAGTAAAGTATAACTTACAAGTGAAGATACTTATCTTTTATTCGATATATTCTCACATTAGCTTTGTGAAAGTTTAAAATTTCATTACTCTAGTGATTAAAAATTAATAATAATAAAGATTCTGTTTATGTTACTTGGTGCAGAGTTGAGGAAGAAATCAGTGGTTTTATGTATTCACTTTGTGCTTACACGCATGTATGTCTGTGTCTGTGTTTTCGTGTGTGTGTTTGCTAAGAGTTTCACTCAAGAAAACATAAATTGTCATTCTTTTATCCCTTGAAAGATACAAATGAGGTGAATGATGAAACATTTCAAATGATATTAAAAGAAGAAGTGCTGATTCTTAGGATAGTGTTGAATAACTGATCTAAAGTACTTAGAATGGCTTTTTATTTTAAGTAGGAATAATCGACTTGTGTTAAAATTGGAATTGAAATGGCTTAATGGTTTTATTTAAATAATTTAGAAATTTGTAAACTTTTAATATCATTGTCCCTTTGTCGTTGGTAATAATACTTTATTTTCAAAAGGCCTCACTTTTATGAGGCCTTTTCACTGTTTTCTTGTTTGATCCTCACACCTACCTTGACAGATCAGACTTCATCCTGCCCATTTTATGGGTGAGGAGACAGAGGCTTCAAAGGGCTATGTGATTTGCGATGGGACTAGGGGTAGGAAGAAAACCTAAGACTTCTGATTCTTCAGTCACATTCTTCCTCTAACAACTATTATCCAATGACACATGCATTTTAGGTGAAAGCCAAATCACCCTTTTGCAAATACACTTTCCTCAGCATGTCTAGAATTTTGGAGTTAAGTCTTTGGGATCTCATAGGATTGTGTTCGTCCTGTTGGGAAACATCTCCTCATGATGTTAAGCCTACTAACTCTTGTATCGTTTTCCTCGCTGCTTCTCTCTGGTGCTTTCCGGATAGAGCACTGGATGGCTGCTCCTTTTTAAGTACCCTTGTAATGATGAATGCAAGGTTAAATCAAGATTTCATTCAAGGCTTTAGAGGAGGTACCATCAGCATTTTTTTTTTTCAGGCACATTTTCATTTGTCTTAAGAGGGTATAATATCCCATTTTTGTGTAGTTCTGGGTTCATTTTTACATTTGCCTTTACAGAAGAATATTACCCAGTGCAAGGCCTTGCTCATGGTTTGAGGATCACATTGTCTGGGAGCTGAGCTGTGCAGTTTCCCGAAAGATGCCTTGCATGTATGCTCCCGGGGTAGGGGGCGCTCCACACGCTCTTTGTTGGGAACTCTGATATTTTGTGTGACACAAGTAGTGGCAGGTGGATTCCCAGAGAATGCTGGCACTTGGTCCTGTGGTTTACTGTGTAGTAACAGACCTGATCCCTGCGGGAAAAAATGAGGAATCTTTCTTTTTGTCATATGAAACTCTGAGATTAAGCATCCTCTTCAGTGAGGTGAGGGTGATTACTCACAATAACCTCTAAGGTTCTTTGTAGTTCAGAAATAGTGCAATTTCAAGTTTTATGAATTTCCACCCTCCTCCCCCTCCTGCCTCCCTAGATCCATCATTTGTTTAGCAAATATTTGAGTGGTAGTGATGTGCCAAGCATGGAATTCTAGGTCCTGGGGAAACAAAAGCCAGGAACAAGACAAAGTCCATTTGAGGCAGGAGCTTGGAAGCAATGTTCAGCCAAAACATCCAAAAGTAATAAGGTCACTTCTGTTTATGCTACTTGTATTTATAAGGTATTTGCACCCAATAAATAAGAAAACTCAGAAGCCAGTCTTTTATATCTTCTAAAGATGGAAAATACTCCATCTTTTGAATGATCTGTTTCGTCTTCTATTTGGAATTTTTTCCTTTTTCTCATTTTTGGGTTTATTAAATCTGTCAAGTGAACTTTTTTGGACTCAAGCGAAAATTAAAGTATAAAAAAAGACTTTTTTTTTTAAGTTACTGTACTGTGGGTGCATGCTAGAAATAGGAAGCCCAGGCATTTTAGAACCAGGGAGTTTTGAATCTGCCACTTCCTGGATGTCTTTGGTAGTGTCCCTAAAACCAAGAAGGTTGAAGCGATGGAATGTGGGGCACCCAGAATTCACCTCTTGGACGTTGTCTGGAGGAGCTGCATGCTTGGCATTTCCAGGGCTGTGTTTCATGATTCTTGGAAGAAGTGACAGCAGCTGGTAGGGAAGGGAACATTGATCTCCAGGCTCCTGCGATGGTTCTTAGAGAAGGCACAGCTCTTATTTTATTTTGGCCCTGCCATGTGACTTGTGGGGTCTTAGTTCCCTGACCAGGGATTGAACCCATACCCCGGGCAGTGAAAGTACAGAGTACTAACCACTGAACTGCCAGGAAATTCCCAGCTCTTGTTTTAATTGGCTGTTTTATTTTTTGTCTTGTTCTAGCATGTGGGTTTAAGGTTACCTCTGATGAATTAAGCTTATAGAGCATTTAAGCTAAACAAAACAAAACCAAAAATGTATGTTAGCCTTGTAGCTAACTTTGCATAGAAATGATGATGGGCTGGAAAAATACCTACCTATGGGCTGACTGAGTGAAGGGGTGAAGGCTGTCCCTGGGTAATAGAAGAGAACTACCTTTGAGTGTATAACCTTTGAAGATTATCCTCATTCTTGTTACTTCTGACTGTGTTTCAGCAGCACGGTTGAAAGAAGCAGTGATTCCACAATGCGTGCATATTTTCTTGTGGCAAATGAAGCTCCTTAGCAGCATGGCACTGTCACACCGTGACTGCCTCAGGAAAGCTGGGGAGATGGGCTGAATGATTGGCTGCTTTCCGAAGTCTCAGGCCAAGCCTGTTTCTTCACATCTTTGTTGGAACGGAGCCGTCTGCAGATGACCTTGCTGAGCGGCCACTAGATGGCAATGTACGGTTCAGACAGGGTGACTCAGCGGCCTGGATCCCTGGTGGGGGTTAGTCCACGGGCTCTACGGGACCAGGCCCCTTTTAAAGCAGATCAAACTCTTTATTTGGAGAAGGAAATGGCAACCCACTCCGGTATTCTTGCCTGGAGAATCCCATGGACAGAGGAGCCTGGTGAGCTACAGTCCGTGGGGTCCCAATGAGTTGGACACGACTGAATGACTAATACTAACAGTAAACTCTTGATTGACAGCATCATCTCTAACCTCGTTAATAGACACATGGAGTGAAAGTTCACTTTGGGCGTTTTATGTGTGACTCTCCAGACCAACGCTGTGCGTCTTGCAGTGTCAGGACATCTTTGCCAGCGTTGGTTGGACTTACTCCCCAGCTCGCTGTAGAACTTCACATTCACCTTGTAACTGCGTTATTTTCTTTCAGCTATGCAGTGGTTCCTGCTCTAGAATCTGTTGAAACAAGCAACTACTTTTCCTTTCATTGGGCAGAACTAAACTAAACCAACTGGCCCAAATCTGGCCACTTTCCTGTGGTTTTGGTCCTTAACCTTTTTTCCAGATGAAGAGGGGAATTCCAGCCCTAGGTATTTTGGGGTTAGCTGTTTCCCTTCTCTTTACTCCTCTCCCATATTACTACTAATAAAATATTACTCATATATCTGTGGTAAGAAAATCAAACCGTAGAGTAGAGAGCCCAATACACAGTAAGCTGTGCTCCTACTCCTGCCTCACAGGTTCCCACGTGCTGCTTTCTCATGCATCCTTCTAGCCTCCGTGAACCCTATGGGTTCTGGCACTAACTGTCTAACTAGGCTATCAATCAGTGTCTTTTCTTCCCCCACATTTCTAACCTTTTCCCACAGAGATCCAGAGTGGGCTTTTCAAGATGGAAGCCTGATCATGGTAACTCTCATGATAGGAGATAGCTTCCATTGTTTCTAGGTATTAAAAAAAAAAAAAAAATCCAAAACAAACCAAAAAAAGCCCCACTGTGGACCACAAAAACTTTATGGTCTGGCTCTACTTCTCTTTCAGCTTCTTTTTGGACCATGTTCCCTTTTACTCTACCCAGTCTAGTCACATGATTTTCTTTTAGTCTTTAGGCTTGGCATGCTGCTAGACCTTTATGCATACTATTCCTTTAATCTAGAAAGCCCTCCTCTCCAAAAACATCTAGTTTCCATTTATCTTTCAGCTCTCAACTTACAAGTCAGTCCCTTAAAGAAGCCTTTTCTGACTTCTAAAGTTAGCCTAATTTTAATCTTTTTTAGTTTTCAAAGAAATCAAGGAGGATATTCTAAATTCTTGTAAACTCATAAAAGTGAAACATTTACTGTAACTTTTGACTTTTAGATATTTATCATCTCAATAGATCATGGGAAGCTTTTTGTAGATAGCAAAAAAGAAATTGCAGAAATTTCACAATTTTAGTGCTGAAAACAAATCAGTGTGTCCTATAATGAACTATATTTTGGTTTAATAAAGTATGTAAAATATTTACATTGTTAATACTTGTAATATATATTATCTATATTTGGTAGGAGGTAAAAGCTCTATAGGGAAACAAAGAAACACATCCAGCATTGAAAATCTTTAATATTGCCAGTGAAAATGATGAATCTTGGTTCTCAGTTTTAAGGGCTAGCTATTAGGAACAGAAAGTTAGCTTGTAAAAATAGCCAAATAGTCTACTTAGGAAAAAGGCTGTGATGCTACTTAAGAAAAAGACCCTGATGCTAGGAAAGAGTGAAGGCAGGAGGAGTGGGGGGTGGCAGAGGCCGAGGTGGTTGGATGGCATGACTGACTCAATGGACATGAGTTTGAGCAAGCTCCGGGAGATGGTGAAGGACAGGGAAGCCTGGCCTGCTGCAGTCCATGGGGTTGCAAAGAGTCGGACACGACAGAGTGACTGAACGAGAAAAAAAACTGTGTCACTTACCTGTGAAAACAGGTCGTCATCACCAGGGCTTTCTGGAGAAATAACTGATTTCAAGTCTAGGGTAGAGAGAGTAGTACAAGGTGAACTAGAATATATTGTGTCAGAAAGTGAGGATGCACTCAGAGACTGATGGGGACGTGTCAGAGGGACACTGGAGGGAAGTTGTGCACCATAAGGATGAGGACAGTAACAGATCATAGCCCCGAGTCAAAGGCAAGAGTCCTTTAGTCCAAAGCTAAGAAAGGTGGTGAGTGGAACTCTCTCCATAGAAAAGTTCTGGCCTATAAGTGTAAAAGCATGACAGAATTAGAATAATCACCATTTTGTATCCTCAAATTAAAACTGATTTAGGCAGGGATCATAACAGATGCTGAAGCCACCTGGTGATGGGTTGCTGAGAAACAGGATTGTCAGTCTCAAGGTGTCGTTCTCAAGGTTACACACCATTTAGAGGGGCCAAGAGTACCTTTAAGTGGAGATGGGCAGGTACTACCTCCACCAAATGAGTCATCTTAGTATCACCAGTAATGGAACGGACTGTCCTCATGGGAGGAGAAGCACATAGCCTGGAGTGTTCTTATCATGAGTGCTTAATCTAAGTGTAATCATAGGGAAATTATCTGACAAACTGAGATTCTGCAAAACAACTAGTCTGATCCCTTCAAAAATGAGATTGTCAAGAAAGACAGAAAAGAGGCAAGATACCTTATGGAGACTAAGGAGATAGACACCTGAGAGCAGTGCATAAGCCTTGATTGGATCTCTGATGGAAAATTGGAGCTGGGGGAAAACTGGGAAATCTGCACGTGAGTCATATATTAGCTAAGAAAGTTAACATTTCTAGGATATTAAGAGTGATGATGGCATTGAGGCATTTAGGAGTAAAGTGGCATTATGTTGGCAACTTACTTTGAAAAGGCACAGAAAAAAGTGCTTGTATGTGAGAGCACAGATGTGACAGTGTTCATGGTGGACCCAGGGAATGGGCACGTGGCTGCTTATTTACAGGACCTTCAGCTTTTCCATACATTAGAAATTTCTTAAAAAGCATAGGAAAAATAGCTCATTGTGGATGTGTTCCGACTCCAGGGTTTTTATTGTCTTTTGGGATTGTGTTTTATATTACTTCCCCACGTCAGAAAAAAAACTCAGGTTATAATTTGCCTTTATTCTGTTTTTCTAGATGTGATACAACAGAAAAACTCAGAAATACTTTGGATTACTTAAGATCATTATTAAATGATTCTACAAACTTTAAACTTATTTACAGATATGCGTTTGACTTTGCACGGGTGAGTCCTCTGGATCCTATCCAGATGTTTCTCTCTCTCTCTCCCCTCCCCCTTTTCACTGCCTTTTGAGGTTTGTTTTATATGCTACAGCAAGGAAGTTGAGTAAGCTACTCCCAGGATGCTAGTTAGAATTTCTCTCTACACATACACTGTCTACATGAGCTGAGTCTGGACAAGAATGTAGTATGTCAACGAAAAGCTCTAGTGACAGGCCTTTAATAGCTCGTGTGATTGGCTTAGAAGTAATTATAAATGGGAACATCATAGACATTGTTCTAAACAGCTCTTAGGTAAGCTTCTCACGAAACAGCAAACCTTCACCCATTGAGTTTCCTGGAATAAGGTAGTCAGGTCGAAGCCAGTTTCACTTGGGGTGCTGGATCATACCTGGAAATAATTTGAATTTGAATTAATTCAAATGTAAGCTAATTTAAATGGACAGGATTCAAATGTAGTTTCTAGTCATCATTTTGAAAAATGATCATCTTATTTGTCACACAGTGAGCCAGGCCAAGTTTGTGGCGGTGGTTCTACCAGAGTGAAATAAAGCTGTATTTTTCAGCCTGGTCACCACAGGCAGTGAGTAAATCCTGAGGCACCAGTTGGCATTGTGTTCATTTCACTGTCCACGGCCCCGTTCATAACGATATAACGATTATGCTCTATTGCAGGATGGTAGTTTTCTGTTCTGTTTGTGTGTTTGGTGGGTTCAGGTGATTAGGCTTTCCTGACTGATGATTTTTTTAAATGATTTCTTTTTTTTTGAGCAGAGAACTCAGTAACAGTTCTTTTTTTGTCTTACCACCATGTGGATCTTTTCACTTTTTCTTCACTTGGCTCTGTTAGTTTAGCCAAAAGCTTGTTTGCTGTGAGATCTGGTGCACCTACAGCACAGCAGTAAGTCCACAGCGGTGTCCTCACGTGTGGATTTCCGCAGCCGCAAATAGAGTTAGGGCACGCATGAGGATGTATAGATGTTAGAAGTCATATGGTCAAACTCAGATGCAGTGTTTCACTCAACGGCATTTGTGTAATTGTGTCTATAAGTTGTTGGTCAGATGCTTTTAGAGTAGAGGCATAGTTTCCAGGATTAAGTGTTTTCCTTCTCAAGATTTTTTTCCTCCCTGAGTCAGCAGTGTCCTATCGTATGGGTGAAGTTTTGTTTAGAAGCATCATGCCTTTTCACCAGAACAACTGTATTTTCTAACTTCCTTGTTTGGAAGTGAAATTTCCCCACATATCCACTGCTTTAGAACTGGGTTCAGTTTTCCTTCCACCTGGCTGGCTGTCCCCTTCTCGGTCGGTCACAGAGGCTCCTTCCGTTGGGGTTGAGGCCGTGCTCGTTGCCTGCACTGCTCCCATGACCTCTTGTCCACGCCGTCTCCCTTCTCACAGGCACTAACACCAGCGGGGCTTGGTCCGTCTCCCGCAACCTTGGGCCGCTTGTCCGCCTTCAGCCACGAGCACCATCGCCTCCGTGTGAATATAGCGCTTCAATCACTGTGCGGACATCACAGTTGCTTCCCTAGCAGCCGAGTGATGAATGGGATGGTTTCGTTCTCCTTCACCAAGGAGTGGGGTGAACTGGGGCCCCCTGGTTTCTCAGCAGTAGGTCCAGGACCACACTCAGGTTCTGGCTGTAGATCCCATCTCCGGGGTCCCCCAGGCCATTGCAGTCCAGTCCCATCCAGGCTTCCCCTTCCACAAGATGCCTCTGCTCTGCTGACGGTGAACTAGCTGTTTGCTGAACCTGCCACCTGCCCCTGCCTCTTGCCATGCCAGGCGCTGTCTGGGCCTTGTCTGTATCCCTGTTGCTCGCTCCAGCTTCTGGGCCAAGCCACCTGGCTCCACCGCCACACAGGATCATCACTTACATGGCCCTCCTGTCCCCTCTAGCTGGCCCTGGGAGTTTGGGTCCAGGCCTGCATTTTTTCTGACAGTTTAAGGGACTGCGTGTTTTCTTTCTTCCTATCTCTGGTAGCAGCCTGCAGAAATCGTTGCCTTTTAAGGAGAGTATCAATAAATATCAGTGAATTAAGCCCCATTATGTAAAGCCCCATTATGTAATGCTGAATAATAGTCACCCATATTTAATCATTACCAAATAGATTCAGTTCAGCTAAAATATACCCTAAGATGAATTTGTTATTGAATTTGTTTTATTTAGCTATATCCCACAAGTTTTGAGGTGTTAAATATTCATTTGCATCCAGCTCAAAATATTTTCTTGTTTTCCTTGTGATTGTTTTGGACCCATTGATTATGTAGAAGTGTGTTGTGTTACTTGCCAACTACTAGGATTTTTCCAAATATTCTGTCATTAATTCTGCCGTGGTCGGAGAACATGCTCTGTATAGTCTCAGTCCACTGACAGGTATGGAGGCTTGATTTATGGTCTGAAATGCGATCTGCTGTGATGAATGTTTTATGTGTACCTGCAAAGAATGACTATTCTGTTGCTGTTCAGTGGGATGTTGTATAAATGTCAATTAGGTCAAGTTGGTTGGTAGTATTGGTCAGGTCTTCTGTACCCTGATTGATCTCTGCCTACCGTTCTATTATCTGCTGAGAGACTCTTTGTTGGACTCTCCGACTGTGATTACTTCTGTTGTTTGTGTTATTTCTCGTCTCACCCTATTTTGAGGCTTCAGGCTAGATTTAGATATATGTAGTAGTGTTATGTCCTCTTGAAGAATTGACCTTTTAGCATTATGAAATGTCTTTCTTTATCTCTGATAATATTCTTTGTTCTGAAGTCTACTTTGTTTGATAGAAATATAGCCATTTCTGCTTTTGTTTTAAGTAAAGTCTATGTGATATGTCTTTTTTCATCATCTTTAAACCTTTGTGTCTTTTTATTTAAAGTGGGTTTCTTTTAGATAGCATAAAAGATGCATCTCCTGTATTGCTGTTCTTTTCCCTTTTTGTCCCATCTATGTTTGTTTATTTTTTCCTCTTTTCATAACTTCTTTTGGATTTTTTTAGACTCCATTTTTATCATTCCATTCCACTATTGTCTTATTATCTGTATCTCTGTGTTATTTTTTGTGATTAATCAAGCTTTACAGCACACATCTTTTTTTTTTTAAATATTTATTTATTCACGTATTTGGTTGCATTGGGTCTTAGTTGCAGCACATGGGCTTAGTCGCCTCACGGCATGTGGAATCTTCCTGCACCGGGGATTGAACCCATGTCCTTGCATTGCCAAGCAGATTCTTAACCCCTGGGCCACAGGGAAATCCCTACAGCACACATTTTTAAATTCTCAGTCTGTCTTCCAATAATACGATACCACTTCGTGTATAATGTAAGAGCCTCTATAATAGTACACTTCAATTTTGCCCTTCCATACTTTTGGCTGCTGTGTCACACATTTTGCTTATACATGTGTTACACATCTCACAATATATGTTTTAGTCTTTTCAGGCTGCTTAGCAAAGTCCCAGAGACTCAGAAGCTTATAAATAACAGAAATCAATTTCTCACAGTTTAGGAGGCTGGAAAGTCCAAACTGATAGTGCTAGCAGGGTAGGTGTGTCCCTGCTGTAACCTCACATGGCGAAAGGGAGGAGGGAGCTCCCGTGCAGTCTCTGTTTTAGGGGCGTTCCTCCGCAGTCATGAGGGCCCCACCTCTTATTACCATCACTTGGAAGGGGGGAACACAAACATTCACAAACATTAATATCAATATAGCATATATTGATATCTTTTTGCTTTAAATAAAGCAGAAATGCCTTTTTTTAAAAAGCAACTTTAAAAAAATGATCTATTTTACTGCACTGTGTGTTAGTTGCAGGATGCAGGGTCTTTAGTTGCAGCATACGGGCTTTCAGCTGTAGCACATGGGATATATTTCCCTGACCAGGGGTTGGACCTGGGCCCCTGCATTGGGCAGCACAGAGTCTTAGCCAGTGGACCACCAGGGAAGTCCCAAAAATGTCTTTTATATTTACCCAGATATATACCACTTGTGTGTGCTTCCTTCCTTTTGTGTGGATCCAGATTTCTATCTGGTATCATTTATCTTCTGTCTAAGGAATTTCCTTCAGCATTGCTCGTAGTGCAGATTTTCCGGTGATGAGTTTCTAAGCTTTTATTTTGCCTTCAACGTAGAACACACTTATCTAGAGAAAGGATTTCTAGATTGGCCGTTTTTTCTTTGAGTGCTTTAATGCTCGCTCTCACCGTCTTCTGTCTTGTGCAGTGTCTGATGGTGAGTCTGATGTCGTTCATGATGCCTTTGTGTACATAGTGTCTTGTTTTGTTCTCTGGTTGGTTTTGTTCTCTTTTCACTGATTTTCAGCAAGTTGACTATGGTGTGCCTCAACATAATTTCCTTATGTTTATTCTGATTAGGATTTGTTGAGTTTTTTGGTCTTTGGACTTAAGCCGTTTGTATTAAATTGGGAAATTTCTCAGCTGTTATTTCTTCAAATAGTTCTCCTGTTCCCCCTCTCTCCTCCTTGTGGGACTACAGTTGTACTTGTATTAGATGCTTGATACTGTCACACAAGCTACTGATGCTGTGTTCAGTTTTTGTTTTCTCTTTTTGTTTCCCTTTGGGTAATATTTATTACTGTACCTTCTAATACTAATCTTTTCTTCTGCTCACTCCAGATAGTATATTTTAATTTCAGATGCTATATTTTTCATCTCTAGAAATTCTGTTTGTGACTTTTTCTATCCATTTCTCTCATCATGATAATATTTTCTTCTACCACCTTAAACTTCTCGGATGTGTTTATGACAGGTGTTTTAACAGCATTGTGTTGTGTTTCTGTCATATCTGTCATATCTTTATCTCTTTCTCTGGTTAAAAGTTTTATTTTAGCTATGGGTCATATTTTACCACTTCTTTGCATTCCTGATAGGTTTTTTTTTTTTTTTCTGTTTTTTAATTGGATGCTGAGTATTGTGTTTTAGGTTGTTGGTTGCCTGGGTTTGTTGTATTCCTTTAACTAATGTTGGATTAAATTTTTTTTCCTGGTGTGTATTTA